AAGTATGGATTTCTACTATTATTATGTTAACTGGCTAGATGATCCATTGGGGTACAAATTCTGTAATTATCGTTTTTTATTATATAAAGTTAAATAAATCTTTGAAATTATAGAATTAAATTATTATTTTCGTAGAAGAGTATAAATATTGTTGATGCATTCAACCAACTGTCTTTTTTAATATTTAATTATTTACATTTGTTAATTGGATGACAGAAAATTTCGAGTTACACCGTAGACGTACATAACACCGAGGGCAGGTCAAGTGCCCAGGAAACGGCGCGGTGGTTCTGGAAATCGGCGAATATTCCCAGAGGACGAGAACACCGCTTCCCATTTCCCTGATGAAGTCGTTAACATAGTTGGCCTTGAGAAAATAGAAGGCAGTCCAGTGTCTGGCAACGGCCGCGAACCAAGCCGAGGTCTTACAATGGCCTGTGATCGAATCTTGGCCTCGGTTCCCAAAGAATCTTTTATATCAGAACCCTCGACTCTCCCCTAGGTACGGGGCCACGAATCTACCCCTCCTAAATCGGCACCCCTAAGAACCGACCAACGGATCTAGAGACGAGAAAGGTTGAGAAAATCTCTCTCTGCGATTCATTCTCTATCTCCGTTTCTCTTCTCGCTTTTCCTTATTTAATGCACTCTCGGGTCTATGCCGTTGTTGCTGATCACGAGTTGTTTACGCTGATCGTATAATAATCTTTTATGAGGTCAATGCAGTGCGTGCAATGTCCGTAATGTTCAACGAAGGTAAGAATTACATGGCTCTTATTGTCAAAGAAAAAATGCTATTAATAGTCTGAGAACTGTTTTGAAATTATTACTAGTCTATTTAAAAAAAATGGTGAAAATATTGTTTTATTGATAGATCATTAATTCTAATATTGAAAAAATAGACATAGAACGAAGTATGCATATTTTTATTCACATAATTAAAATATTTAGAACAATCGGAGTCACTTAGCTGCAAAACCGTTTTGATAGAACTTTATCACATCGTTTCTGAGTAAATACATACACAACTGCGTTTCTACAATACATCATATGCTTTCCATAGCGAAATTTTATAGTCAGATTTTATGAAGGTAGCTGATAAAATTTTTAATTTTGCCTTATGGCTTATAAAAATAAAATCCATGCTCCATTCGCATGTCGTTAAAATTTTTATATTAACGGGAACATCAGATGTGATCAGAATTATTTATTCGTTTTTCATCACACAGTATCACTGATTTAGCTATGTGCCAAATTGATATACCGAAAAAAAAACAAAATAAGCTGAAGTACAAAGGGTGCATGAGAGCTGAAAAAGGTCGGTTTAACGATCCGGAAACTCGTTCGATTCGCTTTGAAAACTTAGTTAAATAATAACATGCCAAAATATATATTATGAACGCATAAAAGTGCTGATAACTTTCCTTTAAACGAAAACATGGTTCAATAAAATGAGAGACGCAGTGCACAGAGGTGTGACGTGCACCTTAACAGGCGTGCTAATTTAACTTATCTCGTTCATACTTCCAATTCTGTTTACCCCAGAGAAACAGGAAATATATTCAAGGAAATTATAACACACTTTCGCATGATACTGCAATTGAACTACCTTAAATTCTCTCAATGATAGCACATACGGTAGTAGCGTTTCGCTCCCCAGTAAAGATAAAACCGTGTGACCTTATCTTGGCCTTAAAGTAGAACACATTAACCCAGGTTCTAATGGGATCCCGGTGCATCAGATAACGGGTGTACCAACATCAACCAGATCATTAGAACGCTACACCAGCCTCGTGGACAATGTAAATATCTCACTCTCGAACGTGAATACGACAAGGGGAGGGTCCTGTTCCCAGGGGTACGATCATTTTTTATCCCTGCCTTTCACCATTCATTGCGTTCGGCGAACAGAAATTATTGGCTTGATTTCATGTGTGCTGTGTGAGTATGATGAATTTTTCTAACTANAATAATAACATGCCAAAATATATATTATGAACGCATAAAAGTGCTGATAACTTTCCTTTAAACGAAAACATGGTTCAATAAAATGAGAGACGCAGTGCACAGAGGTGTGACGTGCACCTTAACAGGCGTGCTAATTTAACTTATCTCGTTCATACTTCCAATTCTGTTTACCCCAGAGAAACAGGAAATATATTCAAGGAAATTATAACACACTTTCGCATGATACTGCAATTGAACTACCTTAAATTCTCTCAATGATAGCACATACGGTAGTAGCGTTTCGCTCCCCAGTAAAGATAAAACCGTGTGACCTTATCTTGGCCTTAAAGTAGAACACATTAACCCAGGTTCTAATGGGATCCCGGTGCATCAGATAACGGGTGTACCAACA